CAATGACATAGATGAACGGATAGTAAATAAATACTTAAATTTGCAGATGATATTAAGGTCTCATATTGGGTGTTGCTAGCTGTGAAGAGGATGCTGCTGATTTACAAAAGGATTTAAATCATTTAGTGAATTGGGCAAATAAATGGCAGATGGGTTTTCATTATAATAAATGCAAGATAATGCATGTGGGTTATCATAATTTGAATTATAAGTATAATTTGGATGGAAATAACCTTAACAGTGTTATGAAGGAAAGGGGGCTTGGTGTAATAGTCGATCAGTCTCTGAAGCCATTCAAGCAGTGTGCTGTTGTTAGTGGTAGGGCAAATAGGATTTTAGGTTGTATCTACAGAAATATTAAATACAAGTCTAAAGAGGTTATAATTTCATTGTATAGGTAAGGCCAAATTTGGAGTATTGTGTTCAGTGAGCTCCTTACTTTAGGAAGGACATGGAATTGTTGGAAAGGGTTCAGAGTAGGTTACTAGAATGGTGCCTGGGATGGAGGGGTTGTTATACCAGGAGAGGCTGAAATCTCTCAAATTGTTTTCTCTTGAAAAAAAGAAGAGTTATTTGGATCTCATTGACGTGTTTAAAAATTTTAAAGGGAATTGATAGTGTTGATGTATCATCTTTTTTCATATTTAACAGTGAGAATAGTAGGACTAGGGGACACAAATATAAATTTTGTCAAGGTAGGAGTCATCTTCAGCTAAGACAGTTTCATTTTTCTAACAGAGTGGTTGGCCTTTGGAATGGGTTGCCTTCAGATGTTGTAGAGGCAGTAAATTTAAGTGACTTTAAGAAAAAGCTTGATAAGTATATGAATGATAAGAGCTGGCTTTAAGATTTTTTTATAATTATTTCAATTTAGTTTAGAGGATGGAATAGCCGAGATAGACCAATAGGTCTCGTGTTGTCATAGAACATTATGTTATTATTATGTAAATGTTCTAAATATACAGACCAAAATTAATCTTTATGGAGTTACTACTTGATTTTTAAGAAGTGTTATAACAAGGTTTGGCATTTTGAAAATTGTTCAAAAGACTATAATAGTAATTTCAGAAAGTATGATATGGTTGCTTGTTGTATTATGTTTTTGAAGAATTTTTGTTTATCAAAGTTAAAAGTTTGGAGTGGAAATGAGTAGCAACAATGTTCAAGTACACTCTGAATGTTACTGACTCTTCTAACAAAATTAGAAAACCAATTTCTTTCATGAGAGCATTTTCACACACCATTATGTCACCTCCACCAGCTTGTAGTAGCACAACAGTATAAGCCCAGATAAGTACCTTGTACATTATGCTTTCCTATTTTCATCAGCCATAAACTGTTTTTCACTGTCTCACAAAGATTCTTCTAATGTCTTGTGCATAGTATGGTTGGAGGGAGTTGAATCTTGGCTACTTTTGAAGGAATGAGTCAGTTGGAGCAGTCTATGACCTGTTGCATTTCACAACCATGTCTTCTCTTATTAGTCATCAGCATTTAACACTTCTTCAGTTTCACTCTAGTAACAGATGTTTTTGTTTTTTTCAATTATTAAAGTTCATAGGTTCTGGTGACAGACATATTGTAAGAGACAGTCAAAACAAAAAGTCTTTGATAATAATGCTCCAGCTAGTTGGACATAAGTATCTGTTTAGAAGACTAAACATGATATACCCATACCACTGCATTTATAGGGCTCAACAAATAATTTTTCACATCATATGATTTGTGTTACATAAATCTGCATGAGTGAGGATCTTTAATAAAGTTGGTCATTAGTGTATAAGTAGGCTAGTTATTTTTGTTTTTTTACAGTGGTATTCATTATCCTACCCATGAGCTTCCATAGGCCACTAAGATGTATTTGTTCAATAAAGATAAGTCATGCTTTATTTATGATACTTGATAATGTTGGATAGTGATAGATGACACCAGATATGATCTCAAGAAATCAACAGAGAGATAAATACTTTCTAGCCAATTCTGTATTTACTTTTTTTTTTTAAATACTTTAACAGTATAGAAGTTCTCAAAGACTAGGTGTTTTATACATCAGCAAATGTTTTTGTTAGATATTGTATATACTAACCACTATTTCTAGTGGAAATAATAAAAGGATCAGCTTTTTGTATGTTTGAAACAATGCACAGTAATTTACAAGTTACGTATTAGCCTTAGTTTTTTTCGTCAAATTTACTGTATACAGAAGCTGAATGTATGTGATAAACTGACCAGTAGATGCTGCTCCTTCATCTGAGATGATATCTACATTGCAACACAAATGATTTCAAGTTTAAAGTCTTATTATAAATGTTAGTTTAAAAGGCCTGGTTTTAAAATAAAATATATGCATGAGTAAAAACCTACATTTTATACATTGAGCAAAAATATAATACTACTTTACACTCACTTGATAATATAAAAAAAATTATATATTAATTGCTGAATCTAAACTGTAGAATAAGTAATAAAATCCCAAAATTGCCTAAATTTTTGATAGCCTTTTTCAGGGGTTTGTTTTTGTACTTTTGAACTGTGTGTATGCAGTCCACATTTTGGTGTATACCTAATACAAACTGTTTTGATTTACTAAAGTACATAAGTTTACACTTATGGCTTTTTACTCCATAACTTTCGAGCTTAGTTGTCAAAGTGTATCTATTGCCATAAAGATTCAGAAATATGATTTTTTCCTTAAAATAATTAAATGAGAATTAATTAATTTGTTGAACCTCAAGAATTGTTGAAAATCCTATCTATAACCCCAAAATGTCAATATTATTCTACACAGTGAAAGCTACTGTAGTTTTTGAGTATATCAGATGCAAGTGTTGATCTTTACAAATCAAAACACTAATGAGAAGTCATTAGGAAAGGGCTGTCAGACTAAATAAATATTATGAATTGGCAAAGATTTAAATATTTTGATACATTATTTAATCTTTCTGTATATTTTCAGTTAGCTCAGAAATAAAAGTTTTTAGAAACAACTATATAAAATAATCTGAATTATTGTTATACCATTCAAGTGATAACTGACAGGGTTGAACTCTTATATTAATGATTGAAGCATTATATATTTACTAATGTATACAAATTTCTTGTAAGATATTATTTGTTGTTTTTCCAAAGCAGAGAATTATCTTCAAACTAATATTTTCCCTCAACCATTGCATGTTTTACTCTTTGGCACATAAAATTGTAGTGAAAGATCCTGCTTGTTTATGACCAAATGTTTGTAATTCAAATACTTTAAAACTAAATGTTTCTGATAATGATAAGTTACAAAAGAAATTGTCTGATAATTTGGACAATTAGCTTTCTCATTATAAAGCATTAATTACTTTTATTGCTTGTTTGAAGATATTCTATGTATTTTCTGTGCAAAATAATGACTATTAATGACTCTATCATAATGATGATTTCAAACTTAAGATAATTCTTGGAGCAGATCATCGGTTTGTATAAAAGTGTAATTTCATTTCTAATTATCAAAGAATTTTATTTACTTGTTTTATAAATGGAAGAGTGTAATTGTTTCAATTAAAATGTACCTAATCTGTTTTGTAAAGTAGTAAGAATTATCTATTTACCAAAAATAAACTCATGTATCAAAAATTAAGATATGACCTTAAATAAGCACACAATCAAGATAGAACGACAGAATAAACATTTAGTTTCTGGCTGCAACTTTCTCATTAATCATTCATTCTAATTCACTTTGTTGAAGATTTATCCTTCCATTGAAAATGTATTTATGCTATCAGAATAATGTAGAGTTCTGTTCTTTTTTATTTATTTATAACATAACAATAATGTTTTGGGACAACATGGAACCTATTAGTCCATCTGGGCTATTCTATCCTCTGAACAAAATTAAAATAATTAAAAAAAAATCTTAAAGAAAACCCTTATCATATTTGAATATTTCCTTTGTATGATTGAAATTCTTAGTATTGTAACATACAAAAGCAGATATATATCAGAATACGTTAATATTTATACTTTATAGATACTTTTAACTTTTACAAATGTAAAGAAAATACTTTGCCTCATTATTATGATCACAATATTTAGACACTTTTATCTTAGTAACATTTAATTAATCTAAAACTAATAACAATTTTTAAATAATTCCACCCTAACTTGTATATTTTAAAACAATAGTAAAGCTGGAGTGACATAATTATGAGATCAATTTAAAAAGATATGGTAAAACAAACAAACGAATTCTAAAATGTTACACATTTTAGTTTTATGCTGTAGCTTTTTATTCTTGTGTAGAGTAGTCATAGAAGTTGAGTTTTTATATTATTATTTTTAAATTTCATGACACGTATACAAATAATACAAAATACACGAGGCCCGTTTCACGAATCCCCATTTGGTGTCTTGAAATATCAGAATAGAAAACCATTTTCGATATCATACTGAAACGCCAAAACTCTACGCCTTTTAAGCACCTAGTGACGCCTCTGGGTATATACTACATAAAGTATCCATTGTAAGATTGAAAATAATTGTTTTAGAGTGTGTTTTCTATTCCACTTTAAAAAATGCATAAACACATTTAAATTATTATCTAGGGCTACATGATTGAAAACCCTCAGTTTTCACTTACTTTAAATTAAAGACCCGAGTGCAGCCCATCAGTTAAATTAACAAACTGTGGATCTGAGATTCCTTTGTTCGCGCCAAAACACAAATTCGTGACTCTTACTGTGGGCCGTGGTTGCGTTAGGGAGAAAGAAGTCTGCTGAGAACCTGACCCACCCATGTCGCGCACAGTGACCGAATACCAACCCAGAACGCACGCGTTGGGTGCGTTATAAGATTGACGGTGAAATTCCACTATGCGGTCCGAGAAGAGTAGCCCAAGATTTGGCAGGGACGGCTAGAACAAACAGTCCTTGAGTAGCTTTGCGCGATATTCAGCAAACAAAAAAATTAAAATACTTATCAGCTTATAATTTGACTGTATGTAGAACACCGTAATAATGTTAACAAAGAGGACATGATAGGATAGGAAAAGACAATATATAAGAAACTTGGTTATTATACAAAATAACGATTAAGGGCTACCAATTAGAATTTATCACAAATATTTCTGATTTGTACCTAATATTAGTTATAAATACCTTTCAAATATTGAAATGGTTAAAAAAAAATAAATTATATTTGAATAAAATAATGAGTAGATATATCAACTAATGTGAAAGAGTATGGTAAAGAAATATAAGTAGTCAAAAAGTTTTGGCAGCGGTGGGATTCGAACCCACGCCTCTGAGAGACTGGTGCCTAAAACCAGCGCCTTAGACCACTCGGCCACGCTACCATTGAAATATTTAATCAATAAATTATATTTAAAAACATTTTGTATGATAAATATATCTTTTCTATTTTTTTTATAGTATGCCTCTTAAAGTAAGTAATAATAATGAATTATACTCCATATATACTTCATGATTTAGGAAATCGTAGGGAAAATCTATGGCCTGTCACGGTTGCCAGCTTTATCTATGAATCCGTCAGAGGTTGCTGAGGGACGCCATCTGGCAAGATAAATCAGTTATTTGCAAGATTTTCCTCTATTTTTTATATTTTTCTGAAACAACTATTTATCTTTTTAAAATCACGAAACCTTTCTTATAAAAAACGAAACAAAACTGGGAAGAAGTTGGCGAACTAGTTTGAGAATCGTTTAGTTTAGTCTAATATTCTTATTTTAAGTTACAAATTTTAAAATAAATACTTTCATTTTTTGCAGACACCAATACTAAGTAGAAATTGGTATAAAACTGTGTAGGAAATTATGCGTGATGGTTGTTGAAAGATATAAAAAGAAGTATATATTTATATACAGATATATTTATACATTTTAATATAGAAATGAATAAAAAACCCTATAACCCGAGTGCTTTCGAAAGGTGGACCTTTCTTCTTCAGGGGCAAACTGGGAAGGGTGGTGTAATCGAATGAGTGATGTATATATATTATTGAGTATCTGCTTGTTTGTTAATTTCCGGTATAAATTATTTCTAAGGAACTTCAGCGATACAAGTCTTTTCTTG